GGAAAGAGAGGAAGATTCTCATAAACCCAGTCTATCATAACATTGAATTTCACGCAAAAATCATCAGATTAATATGAAGATTTTCCCAGACAAGGAGAGAAAAAATAAAAAAATAGGAGAATAGAGAAGAAGCAAATCACGCACGAACGAGAGGTTGAGGAACCCGAACAGATAACGAGCCAGAGGTTGAGAAACCCGCTGTTATTATAGGCTAACGTCCAAGATCTATATCCAGTCTCTGGTGTGGATCAATATCAAATATGTGCGTCTTGGTGACGACGTTGTGAAGAAGTTATTTGGTGGATCTATTTCAAATATGTGCGAATTTATTCGTCATCCTCCCTTGGTTTGATGGGGGCTGATTCGAGCGGCGGTGGTGATAGGACATTATGTTTTGTTTGTCTTTTTAGTTATGTTTTGTTTGTCTCCGTGAGATTGTTGAATTGTCTCTTTTGTTGGGAGAGTTTTTATTTCGTTATTCATGTTGGTGTGTCTTCAGTTTATCCAAGCGGCGTCTTCCGGCGTTTTTCGACTTTTCACATATACGTATAGGCGGCGGATACATGGCACTCTATTTTTGACACAAATTTTGATACAAGTTTTAAACCCTTGGATTAGCCCACTATCAATGAATGTGATTAAACAAATTAATTATTTTATTCTTTAAATAATCAATTATAGAAAATAAATTTTAATTCACTTTTGTATTTCCTCTCTCTTCATTTAATTAAGTTTTGATGGCTTATTGACACAAGGCACTTCTTCTTCTCTTCTTCGTGCCTTCTCATTAACACCACCTCCCTTGTTCTTCTTCTTGGTTTTTCAGTAATCCTGAAATCACAAACTGGCCATCCAATTTCAGCAAACCATTCCATCTAAATCACAAACTAGCAATTAATCATTAGAGTTAAGATTTATAACGATAAATCATTGTTTTAATAATCTACACAACAAGTTGGAGAGTAGATCACATTAATCTAGCCAATTTGTGGGCGTTGGAGAGAAACTAGGTTTTTGTTTCTGTTCAATCAAAATTACTTCAGAGCTAGGGAAGTATCTTCTTCTTGCTTTTTCAGTAACCCTGAAATCACACATAAACTTTTCACCCTATAACTTACCAGTAAGATATAGGTGTTGTTTAGGATTGCTTTTTTTTTTTTGCCAAAAATCTGTTTCACTTTAAAGTTAAGCAATTCAAGGTGTTTGATAAAAATAAAATATCTCGATTTTTATAAAAGCAGTGGCATTTTGACAGCAACTTTTAAAAGTAAGCTCTAGGTTGCTTTCAAAAGAAGTAGAGACAAGCCTTTAATGAATTTTTTAAATTCCTAAAATACCATCATTCATTTTTAAAATTAACAGCACCTCTACCTCCACCCCCACATCCAACTCTACCACCTCCACCTCCACCTCCATAACTGCCATCCCCACTACCACCACCTCCACCTTCATCACCACCACTTCATCACCACCACATCCTCCTCTGCCACCACCACCACAACTACCACCTCCTCCTCCTCCATCTCCACCACATCCACCTCCACCTCCACCTCCACAACCTCCATCACCACCACCTCCACCACCACCTCTTTCACTACCATATTCACCTCCATCTCTTTCACATAATTAGAGCATAACATTTTCAACATCATATCTATTTGAGTTATTATTCACAATTATAACAGTTTTATATTAAAATTTACCAAACGATTTTGACACTGCTTTTTGTACTAACAACACTTTAAAAGAATTATTTACCAAACATGGAAATGCTTTACTTTATAGTTAATTACTTTCAAAGCCCAGCAAAAGCAACTTTATTTTAAAAGTGACAGCAATCCCAAACTAGCTCATAGTCTTTTCACTCTATAACTTACCGGTAGTGTTCTCCATTTAACAGGCTTTCCATTTTCCAAAAGCCCTCTGTAACCTTCTTTGATTCTTTTTTACTAACCTCTCCGCATGCGCTTTCGAGCCTGCGAGAGTTTTTTTTTTAATAACAAATTTTAATTTATTTTAGAATTAAAAAAGATAATGGGTAGTTGTGTTCCATCAAAATATGACATATTATCTGATTTTGTTTTAATTTTTAATTTTTTTAATATAAAAAAAATGTGAATTTACCATATTTTCCTTTTATTAATAATTTCAATTCTTAGTATTTGGATTAACCAAAGGCATTTTCTGGTATTTTGAATGTTTCACCATTTTCTGCATTTTGATTTATATATATATAGATATATATTGTTTTTTTTTAAAAGAGAAAAACTGTCCCCTAATTTTAAAAGAAAGTGGGTGCTGAATTTTTTTCTCAAATCTTTTTCATTTTAAATTTTTTGAATTAATTATATCATCCTTGTTTTTAAATTTTTTTTTTATATGTTTCCCGTTGAATGAATTGTTTTTTGTAATTGAAATTTTCATTAACTAAAATCATAGTATTTGAAACTTTCACCTTAACGTCTTCTTCTTTTATATACATCGAAGATTCCTAGTGCATAGAGTTTTTCTAACATTAGAATATTTATTTATTTTAATTATACATTTTTTATTGTTTATAATAATTTTAGCCTTTATTTAAAATACTTTTTGAACAAAAATTAGCAAAAATATACTTGAAAAATAACTCACATATTATTATTCTCAAATTGTCATACCAGACACGTTTTCACTGTTTTTATTTTCTGAAAATATAAATTCGTTTTCTCGTTTTCATTCTCAGAAAATATTCTCAAAACACATTATCCGAAAATAGTACCAAATAGTCCATAAATATCTAACATTATTTTTTTGTTTTCTATATCAGAATCAGTCCTCATTTTTAAGTCTACCTAGCCTGAAGACCTAGTGAACTAAAGGGCTTATAAGTTTGAGGTAAGCCTTATGGGCGAGAAACACATGACCCATTTGCAAGAGATAACGCAAGGGCACACCATTTGGTCATGGCGGGAATTCTAAAATGGAAAAAAATTAATTTTTTTTTTTTTATACAAGCGATATTTAGAGAGAGAGTTTCTTACATACACACTACCAAGGTGTCATCATAGTTCGAACTTGAGATCACTAGTCTGCAAGTTAAAGCCCTTTTCCACTCTGCTAGGCCTCATTGGCAACCAAAAAAAAACATATATATAGGTTGAGGAAAACTCCCCTTTTAACATAACTAAGAATATATCTTCCGTGAAGTAAACTTTGTAACAATGTTGTGGCGGATCAAAGACATCGGTTCCCATGTCGCTAATCTATCCTACTAAACAATATTTATCACAAACAATGGGATTTGGCAGAAAAATAAATAGGGAAAAGGAAGGTGACACAGATGACTGCAATATGGTATAATCATTCCAATGGCTAATATTTTGGTGAAAAGTGAGTAGGGTGGATTTCCACCAATTCTTCATTCCATTCCTCCAAATGAGAAAAATAGTGGAGGGTCCAATGTCTTCGATGTTGCTTGCTTTTTAGCATGTAGAAAGGTAAGAGAGTTCCCAAAAACAATGCAATAGCTATCATGAGTTGATGACCACATCCTAAAAAATATGTGCTCTTACCCACCTTGGCCTTTGCATATGGCAAGAAAGCTTTAAGATCAAGAAATCTTGAAAGTACGGCCCCACATAAAAAAGCCTTATCAAAACCCATTAAATATTTCATTCATTCCTTCCTATGGTAGAAGAAAGAATATTTCCATCAGCACCCAGTGCAAACCTAAATTTGGCCAATCAGCACTATACATGTGGCTCATGCCAGTCAGTCAGAAATAAGCGTCCTTCACTTGTAATCATTTTCCCTATCTGGATGTTCACATCCAATAATGGACACTATAATGGACGCTACTTGTAGTTGTAGCTGATAAATTTTTTTACAAAATTACATGTCCAAAACTTCACTTGGAAAGATACGGAGCTAGGATGAACATAAGACGAGCTGTAAACTTAAAACAAATTTAGATGCACATTGTTGATTGTAATATAGTAATAGTGTTGTGTTTCTAGAAAACACAACAATAAGCCGCATGATGTACCCCATCCCGGATTTGAGCAACACTACATGCCATTTAAACGCCTGTTGTTTGTCTGCGCGGCGCATGTAGAAAAATGGCTGCTTAAAAAGGCTAGAGTTACCTTATATATAGTCCTTCTAATATACAATTAGCATATGGAAATTAAAAAACTGGCACAACATAATCATATGGGCAGGTCACTAAAAGGCTGGTTTACAAGGCATATTGAATAGCCGACCATTAACTTTGTTTCGTTAGCAATGTCTGGAGCTTTCTAAGTTTAAAATTCATGGCTAAAGAATGTCAATGTCGGCTAAAAAGGAAAAGAGGATGAGACGCTAGATGTTGCACATCTTTTATAGTACTGACAGATCAGTTTAGCTGACAGATGACCCAAGTGAGGCTTTTGATTCAAGAAAAATAACTGAAGCAGTGCCCATTTTAATCAAGTGCAACACCCTGGCAGCTTAAGAGAAAGAAAGCTCTTCTTAAATGTTTATAGCTGTTTACATCTGAATGCATCATCCCATGGTATCAGAATTTAGACTCAGATTTTGAATATACTGCTCGCTATCCGAAAGACTCAGATTTTAAATCTCTGCATTGCTTAAACTGCAGGATTTGGTTAGTTGATCATGGGAAATGAGATGGGGAACTACAACACACCAGGTTTGAGAGGTATGGAATTTTTTACCAGCTGTGTATTTTTCTTTTTAGTATATGTGCAAATATCATAAAGCTGTTTGCATTTGCAATCTCCTGCAGATGAAGAGAACCCTGCAGTTGAAGTTGGCGAAAAATCTTTGGTAGGAAATGCTAATGGAAATGACATAAAAGAAGAAAATGAAATAGTACCTGCAGCTGAAGGAAAATATTTTCATGAAAAAGTTACTAACTTGGCTTCTGATGATCCAGAGAGAATAGAAGATCCTTGTGTTGATTACCAGACATCAAACAGAACTGGTTAGCCGTTTTCTTAATTGGGCAACTTATACCTGAATTGATGAAAGCACTTATATCTTGATTACTAGAAGTTATTGTCCCTTAACATTTGGCCTTCTGTCCATAGAGCAAGAAGTTACTGAAGTTCATCCTCTTTCTGAATCTTCAAAAGTTACACCAGAAACGAATGAAGCGGGTGAAGGAGACAGTAAAATGGAACTGGCTACATCATTGAATGATTCAGGACATGATAACCCAATAGAGAAGAAAATGGAGGAGACTGATCTGCAAGGAACAATCAAACAACAATTTGAGAAGCAGGCTTCTTTCAAGAAAGGTATGCTACCTTCAAGCCGTTCCATGTTGCCATTACTAGTTGTATATAGTCTTAAATACTTCTATCATTATTGTCTTGTCTTAGTACATTAAGTTTCGAATTATTTCTTCACTTCTTCTTTAACTTTTGTTCTGTTTAGTATGAGTTATATATTACCGTTTACACAAATGAAAGAAAAATCCCACCATAATAAAACCTTTATATGCTATAAACTGCAACAGAGGAAGAGGGAGCAATATCTACATCACATGATCCAGAACCTACAGAATCTATACATTTAGAGTTGAATCAACATGAATTGGCTACAATTCATCCTGATGACCAATCTGTAGATGACAGTGGATCTTTACAAGGGAATGAAGACTGTCTAGGATCAAGTTTGATTTCCGCTTTTGAGGTGAAAGGTCATCTCTCAGACACTGAGGCATTGAAAAATATGGATGAAAATGTTGATTCTAACACAGATCCAGTTATGGAGAAGGAAAGGGATGACTTATTACTGGAGCAAAAGGCATCCCAAGAACAATTAGAGTCATCTGAAGAGAAGATTGAAACTGAAGATGGAGATAAGTTTGAAAATGGATTGACCACCATAACAACAATAGCATCCAATGGTCTGAGTGGCTTAGGAAATGAAAGTGTTGGAGAGCTTCCAACTGAGATGAATTTTTTAAAAAATGATTGCTCAGAATCAGAACCAGAAGTCATTCCATTGACTAACTCACCAAATTCTCATCTAGAAGTTCCTGAACCAGAAGACAAATGCATAATTCTTAAAGAGGAAATTAGACCAATCGAAAAAGAGTCAGACAATGGAGAACATAACCATGATGATAACCCAATCCAAACTTGTGGAGAGTCAGTGATAGAATCAGAATCCTTCAAGTCAAGTGAGCCTCAGTTTGAAGCTGCCAAGATCGGGTCTATACATGAGAACAGCAAAAAGATAAGTGTATTTAATCCTTTAAGCGACAAGGATTGTCAAACTGAGGAGACAAGGGTTGTTGAGAATGGTCACCTAGTTGTCATGTGTGTTAACAACCAGAATGAGGCTTCTGAGGACCACTTCCTGGACTCAGATGCAAAAGTTGAGGTGGTTCCGGAACTTGGAACGGTTCCACCTGAGTTAACTATCCCACATTGCAACCACAAGGAAGAGGAATCAACAGAGAAGAGAGCTGTTCAACAAAATGGGGATAACACAGAGCCATTGTATGCAATTGAAGTAGGAGGAACAGAAACAACAGAACAGTTTCTGTCTCTACAACTTCCAGTTGATCAAGCAAAAGTTCTGCCCAGTAAAAGTGTATGTGGATATGGAACTGTTCAAAGCACCAATGACTCAATCCTAAATTTGAAGCAAGAGAGTCACAGTGAGTTCCTTGCTACTGAAGCTTCCACTGGTGATTGCACAAACTGGATAGCTGAAGCATTAGCCTCCATGAACAAGTTGGCACTTGATATTCCTGGTCAACATGTTACACAACATACTGAAGCAGTTCAAGCAGCGGCAGAAACTAAAATTTCAGCCAACCATTCAAGTGAACCATGTGCAAAATTTGAAGCATCTGAATCTGCAAGCTGTGGTTCTGAAACACAAGAATGTATGGGAAGGTACAGCACTGAATCAGATGCTGATAACTTGAATGTTCGTGGTCGGATACAAAAATCTCCAAGCTTCAGCCTTGATCTCAAAAATGAAGCAAGGACTGAAGAATCAGATTGTACCCCTTTGCTGTATCATGATAAGGCTGCGATGGAAGGCTCACCATGCCACGGTGATGATGTTAGTCTCGGAAACCTTATGAAGCACACCAGCTATGAGCCAGACCTGCCACAGTACCAAGCAATGCCAGTGGAAGAGAAAATCATTACACTGGAAAGAGGTGACTCAGACAAGTCAAAGACTCCATTCATAGGATTCTTGAAGGAAGAGGAAGAAGCCCGAATTGTTGTTACACCACATATACATGATAAGCATTCAGCTACTCAAAATTCAACCAAGAATCTGTTGGCCTCACATGCTAAAGAAGCTAATCCAACTACTTCATCAAAAGGTAAAGAGAAGCGCAGGCACCGGTCTTCTCTCTTTACCAACTGCATGTGTTGTGCAACTGTGATTAACTGAATGCCTCTTAATTCATCTGTTTTGAATATATTGTTTTGTTTGATTTTCTTTATAATTGGAGTTTTCTGGGAAATGGAGTTTTGATGATGAGGAGAGAAAGACTGTTGTTTTGCTTGGTTATAGTATATTTGATTTTGAGAAGCCAAGAAAGAGTGAGTATGACTTTCTGCAACCATGGCAGCCACCCCATTGTTTGTGTTGTTTCCATTTGTTCCATCTGTTTCTCTCCTTTACTTCTTTGTCTTAAACTTACAATTTGTGATGTAAGTTACCCTTGATGTAATTCCATCTATTTATTTGATTGATACAATTATTTTGTAAGGTGTGTTGGGGGTGAATTGTATTAAATGCTACTTCTGATTGTAATATCTGTTTATTTATATCCATATAATACAATGATATTGAAGGTGCTATGGCTTAAATATGAAGTATTCATTTTTATCAACTTTTGAGATTAAGTGATTGTCTAACTAATGGAGAAGTATGTGGAATGTGCTTTGATAAGTGATTATTGATCTATCCAGAATCACTCTAGCCAAACTGTTAGACAAAGAGATGGTATGAGTCAAACTATCTTTTTAGCATTATTATCACTGTTTTACTGATACAAAGAGATGGTATGAGTCAAACTGTTATCTCAACCATCAAAACTCTCTACCATGAGGAACACGCTGCATGAACAAAACAATTATTCAGGAACTTTTACTCATGCTCATTTTAAATTCTGACGTTTAATAGGGTTATGATTGGCCTAAGTAAATTCAGGCCTGGTCATTGAGGCAGACTAGGCCAGACAGATATATGATGTCCATTACATACCAGCTAGCCCAACCTTATGCTTCACATGAGACCAGGCTAGCCCATTGGGCCCACCAGACCTAAATTGAATTCGCAATAAAAGGCCTTATCTGTATTCATTGTGGTGTGAAAACCAAAGGAGATCATGGAGGAGTAGAGGCTAAGAAAAAGAAATAGTCAAGGACATAATCTTCACACGCTGAAAATCAACGAAGATGATGACAGGAGGAGAGCTTGCATATTCCACGCGGTTTGAGAATGGTCTAAAGGTTGAACCTCTAAAGCCATAGATTGGAAACAAAGAAAAGGTCATTCCAGAGAAATTAATGTGAAAGTATAGAATTCATGTCCAGCCTTTGATCCTGGTCAAAGTCAGACTTCAGAACCAAAAGTTGGAGAAACTTCATATCAAGAAACCCTTTCTGAGTTGGAAGATAATCTAAACAATTACCCACAAATAGAAAATAAAAAGTGGAAAAAGAAAATAAAGCAGTAGTGGATATATTGGTAGCCTGCAGATGCAGTTTCAAACTTGACTTGATGTAAATGGTTTTTTTTTTTTAGAACAAGCGTTGGTATAAATTGTAGAAAAAATGGTTTCTCACACACATAACTGATGTAAATGGTTAAGGTAAGCAAAATACTTGTTGAACAAAAGATTTGATATATATCACATTGGGGAGTTTTACTTTTGAAATGAAACACACCATGATATTGACTAGATAGAAATGGAAAAAGGGAAAAAATTACAATGTGGAATTGAATGAATTGAACAAATCAAAGGGTACTAGTTAAGTCTACTACATTTGGTCCTTGGTTACCGACAACAACACAACTTTATTCCTTGTGGACTAATGAGGATGAATTTGAATGTGAATGAGAACAAGAATTCTTCTTCAATACATGGAGAAATCTGTCATCATCATCCAATGGTCATCATCATCTTAACAAATTCATCATAGTTAACTTGGCCATCACCATCCAAATCAGCCTCCTTGATCATCTGCTCGACCTCTTCGTCGGTCAATTTTTCGCCTAGATTGATCATTACATGCCTCAACTGAAACAAGATTAAGAACAAGAAGAAACATAGATTTGCATAGTGTTAGATTCTGTTGGCACTAAAAAGGTCAATATGGGAAACAAGATATGCATTTGTCTAATGAAGCATGGTTAATATTCATTGCATGGGAAAGGTACAGGGAATCAAGATACGGATCCTCATAAAACTTGGGTTAAAAGATATGATTTAACTTAATTAAATATTGAAATTTATTTCACGAATACCCAAATAAAACATTTTTTAAACTAAGCATTAGTATCACTTAAGCTATATGATTCTCCTATTATTTTTCTAAGCATATCCTTAGACACTCCATGCTGTCATCCCTGCAATCAATGCCTAGAAATTTAATGTCAGTGCAATGAAGCTATCCATCACTAATTCTGAGTTTGGTGAGCTATCATCTCTGTTCAGTATTCAACAGCTCAAGCTTGTTTAGCTGGTCAATTAATAAATATTGGATTTTTGTGGTCCAAATAAATACAGAACACTTTCTTTCAACGGTCAGTGTTCATATTATAAAGTCAATATATCCCTTAGAAGTAGGAGACAGAGTTTCCCCCTCAAAGATAAAACTTCCCTGGATATTGTTCAAAGAGTTAGCTTTGACACACTATTAGCATACAAACACAAGCTTTTTTCTTTTTTTCTTTTTTTAAAAATACAAACGATATTATGGAGGGAATTGAATATATGACCTCGGGTGTAGAGGTAAATGTTCTTTACCAATTGAGCTACAAGCCTCTTGCAACACAAGCTTTAAAATAGCTTTTTGTCAATAATAACAGTTCCACCAATGCTATTTATATGTTTTTGGTGCTAATATGAACAATAAGAACAACTATACAATAATTTCACACACATGAAATGAAAAAAAAAAAAATGTTCTGTGAACAAGCTTGACACATAAATAGCTAAACAAGTGTGTTTATACTATTTTTAAGACACAACTGTCTTGGCAAGTGCATTCTATTTCAGTCTATTTTTTTCCGTAGAGGAAATGTTGCTTGTGGATGTAAGGATGGAAATTATTGTACCTCAGTAGCTGATATATATCCATTCTGATCCTTGTCAAACACTTTGAAGGCCTCTTTGAGCTCCTCCTCTGCATCAGTTTCCTGATGATTATGCATTCATACAAACACAATTAAGAACATGTATATGACATTAAGCCTTAATTCTTATATACATAAAAAAAAGCTATGCAGTGCCATGCATATAATATTTACCTTAATTTTGTTTGCCATTAAGCTCAAGAACTCTGCAAATTCTATGGTCCCATTTCCATCAACGTCTACTTCACTTATCATGTCCTGAAGCTCCTCCTCCGTCGGATTCTGATCCAGAGAACGAATCACCGTCGCCAATTCATCAACGGTAATGCAACCTGCGCACATATTTAAACATATTAAACCATTTCATGAAAAAAGAAAAATGCATTTGAACAGAAAAAATTCAAGCATTTCACGAAAAAGAAAAATGCATTTGAACAGAGAAATAATATATAGAAACTGGTTCTAAATCTGAGAACCTACCTGAACTATAGCTAGCTATGCAAGAATATATATATATATATATTATATGCATCACAAAGAATACTAACCAAGAATTGAGGACATGATAGTAGGAAACTCACCATCTCCATCCTTGTCAAATAGACAGAAGGCTTCTTTAAACTCAACAATCTGTTCTTCGCTCAGAACATCTGCCATGCTGTTTTAATTATAAAATTTCCCCTGAAACCTCCACAACACTCAAACACCTCTACCTTTCAAAAATACAAAGTCTATGAGAGAGAGAGAGAGAGAGAGAGAGAGAGTTGAGTATAGCTCAATCTTAGCTGGGTTTAAGTAGTACTTTCAATATGGTAATTGGCGAGTGTAGCACATTTTTGTTTTGTTTTTGTTTAACATTATATTAAAGTAAATTAAAAAAGAGTGGTCAAATCAAGGCTTGCATATGCATGACCGGAATTTGTTGTTACAGTCATGGCTTCAGTGAAGAGGGGGGCAAAAGAAAACAAATATTTTTCAAAATTTTATCTGCTTGCTTCACTGTAAATACTAAATGCATGAATAATATAATGAAACAAAGATTGGACAGCTGTAAGGGTTTGATGTTTAGGAGACAAAGGGCATTCAAAGAGTAAGACTCTAAAGGGTATGGGGAGGTGTGTAAATTGCTCCCACATATTCAACCCCAAAAAGCACGCTGCGTTGCTTGCACGAGAGGGGGGAGAGAGAGAGACTCAGAGAGAGAGAGAGAGAGAGGACCAAAAGCTGTATTATAAGGAAAAATGTATCAATTTTCTTTTCTTTCTTTACAGAATACAAAATACAATACTATTATTACTTGGTATTTTCAACGCGTTTATATGTTATCTGCGGGATGTTTTGCCTTTAGAAAAGGACCAAGAAAGAGGCTTTGCAAACTCTGCCCGGACGTGACTGGTCCAGCTGAGTGAAAAATGCATTGAGTTATAGATTAGCCATCTTATGTTTGAACTCGCATGATGATACTTTGATAACGTGTGTGTGAGAAAATCCCCCTCAATTTCGCTTGTATTAAAAAAAAATTATATGCATAGGACAAAAACTATTGAGTTGAGCATGTTTCATTAAAAAAAGAGTTTTAATGAATGAATAATTTAAGGAAAAAAACATAGCATGCTTATAGTTCTCAACCAGCGCAGAACGATGCAGTTATCATCAGACCCAAAAAAATAATAATAATAAAAACGATGCTGTAATCAATCTTATCATATTGATCAGATGCACTTCTTAATTATAGGTATCATATAAACTTAAATTTTGAGGTTGAATGTTTCTTTGTTGGTTTTCAAACATATTGTTAGAACCCCATTTTGATGTGTTCTTTTCCCGGTCGCAAATCATACCTGAGACCCAACTTCCATTGACCCTTCTAGTATTGGAACCCACTAACTATTTTTCATCATATTCAGAAGTTTGCCTCCAACAGTGTTGTATACATCATTGTGTCTACATCGCTCCTCACGTGAAAAAGAACCCGTCAATCTCATAAAACTTGGGAAAAAAAGAGAGAGAGAGAGAGAGAGAGAGGAGGAAACTAGCGGAATAACATGCAAATATTGTTAGACCATCCAAGAAGTAATAATGAATAAACAGCAGTGGTAAACGTAAATCCTGGCAAATGACTCGAAATAACTATAGAGTAATGGACCCGATTCTACAAGGTCCAAGTCTTCGAACCGAAACCAACTCGTCAAAGACGACCATGACTATGCCTCCCATTGATTCTGTTTATTGGCATTCCATGACAATTGACAAACCCCACTCATTCTTTCTATGGCACAACATCTCCATTACAAAAGAACCATTGCTGAAATGCTAATCAGGTCATGGCACATGTAAAGTACAAGCGCGGCAAAGAAATTTGTTCGTGAAATTTACCCCATTTTTACCGCGCGAATGGATCAATGGACGGCTTGCAAAACCAGTGAAATGAACTTAATCATATCATCACTTTCCTGTTTCTTAGGCACTCATCCTTCCATCAGCACGCAGAGAACATTCCATCATTTGAAAGTGAAATGTTACGTAATGTAAAAGGAAAAGGACATTACGGATCAAGTTAGTCACTTGTACAACATAGTTCCAACAAACTTAAGCTGTAAAAAGGTGCATCGCCACAGCACAAATGCCTTGAGGTGTTTTTTTCAAATGGAGTAGATTATCTTGTCTGGCTAACTTCACTGGACAAAGGGTAATCTTGAAAGAAAGAATGCAAACTGTAGGAGAATGCTGACAATCATTTCCCATCTTCTAACTCCCATTTCAGATAGGCCTGCCCTTTGGAACAATTTGATCTTTAATCCACATGTAAATCGGAACCAGCACATAGTAAGCTCCTGCCATTGCACCAAGAATGAGCCGGAAAAGAAACACCAATGGATTCACAGGCTTCCTTACATCCTCCACCTTTGGACCAAGCTGCACCAAAGCAAACATCTCATAAATATGACAAGTGAATGTATTAAAGGGAAAATAAGCCTCCTACTTAAAGTCTAGTGCATCTTCCATTGAATGCTGAATGATAATCCTCTAGGGACAATGACTACTTCACAGAAAAGGTGTAGTCAAACCTACTTTTGAACTAGAACTAGTAAAATGCCACATCTTCATGTAGACCCTCATATATTCAAATTGTTCGAAATCCTAAAATCTTAGATTGTATTAAGTAGTATTTATTTTTCCTGTTCTCTGCTTTAGTTATGAACCATGACCACCATCATCTCCAACAGTGCCACTACAATTTGTCAGTTGTCAACACTAATACCATTACCACAACCACTAGAACACCACCACCAACATCACCCATTCCAATAATTAAAACACTGTAAAGTGTAATCACCGACCCCAGAGCCACAACTCACACCTGTCATTATCATTTCCATCAGTATCACCATTTTGTAACAATCACCACTGCCACTGCGCCACTGCGCCACTGCCAATGTGAAAATCACTTCACCGCCAGGCTGCCAGTCGTAGCTAGTACCAGAACCAACCACCATAACCTCCACCACCACACAACCACTATAATCGTGTTTGATTTCCAGCATATTTTACAATTCCCAGATAAATTTAGAAACAACAATGACGAAATGAGAGAAAAAGAAAACTCCAATGCCATTCTTGCAGCCACCTCCACCTCCACCTCCATGGCCACTCACTGCTTTTACCACAACCAACCACTGTAGTTGGGTTTGATTTCCAAAAATATGTTATAGTTTCCAAAAGAAATTGGAAACAAAATGAAGAGAAAAAAACACATGTTGCAGTTTTTAGAAAACAAAAACATGGAGAAAGAAATATATCCAAGTATGCCGTTGGAATGAGAGAGTTCCTTGTAAAGCTAGGGACTAAGTATAACATGTATCAGAGAGTTGGTTAATATGCATTAACCATTTCATATCACCTTCTCTGAAACAACAGATGAAATATTGCTGCCTCTAGGAAAAAATATTTCAAGAGAACTATTTTAATTAGAAAAACTATTTATCATTTATTGGACTGCATGCCATTTCGATGTTATGAAAAACTTTCAAGAGGACTTTTCTGTCATCAGTTAGTTGTTTAGCTATTCTGTAATTACCAGTGATTTCTTAGACAAAAGAAAAATTATTCAGTCAACAAGAGTTACACCGTAAAAAGAGCCCCCCAGAAAACTTGCTTTAACTTACAAATCTTCTGAGGATAAAGAAGAATATTACCTGGAGAGGGGAGTCCCCAGATAAGGGCTTCACACCTGTCACAGAGCAACCCATAATCAAGCCATGGCGGCGGACACCACGGTACCATTTTGGACCAATCCTTTTGAGTTTAACATCTTTGAAACCAGCATTTTTGAACCACTCAATGTACTCTTCCTCCTTGGGGAAAAGCATCCACACGTCTGCAAAAAAACGAGACAGCCAAAAGGTTGGGTATACAGGGCCTATAAGGCAAGCTTTTCCTCCTATTTTTAGCACCCTGTATGCTTCCTTGATTCCACGTTGTGGGTCTGGCCAGTACTCAATACTGAGGAACAAATCATGAAATTGCATAAGACAAACAGAACCAACAGTGGTGTATAGACTACCCATTTTGTATAGTCTTACAGTCCCATCATTGTGAAAGCTGAAATATGAAAAATCAAGCAAAGCATATGCTTTGTAGTGTGGATACCCTAAAATTTCAACAATGCTGAAAAGTAATACTCGCTTAACTTTTTTTTAAAGATAAGTAACAATGCTCCCTCCCTTCAGATTATAATTAACCGCACAATTAGTATTTAACTTCTTCTCATTCACCACAATGAAAAATCTGAAATAAGGAATAATAAGCTCGGCATAACAGTGAATCTCAGGATAAGATCAAAATTCCAATCGGAGAACACATATCTAATATATTTCTACTTATTAACTTGACACTAATAATCCCACGACTCAAAACCCCACTTGCAATTCCTTTAAATGAAATCACATTACAGAAAGCAGCAGAAGCAGAAATGTTACCTTCCAGCAGAGACATATCGATCTGCATAATCAGTTGGGAATGGCAGATCTTCGGCATCACCTTCAACTATCTTGCATTCTTTCAAGGGCTCCTTCTCCCTAGCCTTGGCCAGCTGGTGAGGTGACTGGTCAAGAATTGTGACATTTTTGGCATCCACATGCTTAACAATACCAAGAGTTGTGAACCCAGTTCCACCACCAACATCTACCACTACCATATTCCGATCATAAAGATCAGCAGGCTCGAGAGCATCGTCCCTCATATCCTCAGTCCAATGCCCAGGGTTTATAACATGATCATACACTATAGATAAGAACCTATAGAACCAAAATGCCTCTTGCTTGTGCTGTATGAACCTAGGCTGAGAGGCCGGCCTTGAGGATGAGACACTGCATATGGGTGCTAAAGTTCTGGTCTTGTAACTCCTCCCATAACTCACTAAACCCTTCTTGGAGAAACCCCCAAAGTGAAATTTTGTCCCATCAGAACCTAACCCTGTTGCTGGTGCTATGCCACCAATGAGTTTGAGATTTTGAGCTCCATAGAGCATTGAAATAGCCATTGTATGATAAAAGGAAGCAAAACCCACAAAACAAAACTGCTAATTTATATTTTTTGCTCACTGATTACTGGAAACTATGAAGCCGGGAAAGCAAGCAGCAACCATGCGGTTTCCTGGTAATTGGTACAATGGAAATTCATATTGAAACTACCATGCGAAAATTGAAAAGGAATGAATGGATTGCAAAATGGAAATGGCTTACCCACGTACAGAGACAAAGGATTATAGGCGGAGAGTGTGCTTGTGTGACTCTGGGTTCAACAAGCACCACATGTCTGCAGCAGCAACAATTGTGAGTCACAGTTTTGCCTATCGCTATCAGGTGAAACGGAACATATCACCCGCGTTTTGTTTTTTTTTTTTTTTCGCCGTCCACCAAAACGCACCGTTTCAGGGCCTTAATGAAAAATCAAGGCTTCTATTTCATATTGTATTAATTCAAATGGTTTCTGAAAAATTAGATATCTTTTTTTATTGTGTTCAAATCTTTGGTTATCGATAAAGAACTTCGAACTTGTCTTTTTGAATATATATATATATATATATATATATGCAATGAATAGTCTAAATTACTCTAAATTAATCTAATTTAAGGATTGATAAAAATAAAAATATTCTAATCTAAGGAAGGAGGATTTGAAGTTGAGTAAAGGAGCGAGCTCATTGCCCTAACCAACTCGCTTAACCCATTCATCACTGAACTTGTCTTCTTTTCACAAAAGCATGTCAAACTTATGTCTATTTAAGTGGCAGTTAATAAGGAAAAGAATAAGTAATTCTGTTCAGTTTTGCAAACAAACTAAAGCTTAGAAGAAATATTACATGATAGGATAACTACATTCATTATTTAGGTATGGGGAATCTATAATTACGTATATAGAGAGCCTTTTTCAGTTCGCTTCAGACAGATGGTGATTTATGGCCTATCGGATGGCTTTGGAACTTCCCGGAGCTGGACTGAGTTTTCGAAGCAGTGATAGAAACCGAAGTGAGGGAACCTCTCATACCATGTGTCTTGCGGCTCGTGTGTATCCCAGTGCTCACCGCTGCTGCTCTTCCCATACTTGTGAACCCATCCAGAACCATTGTGGCCCTCACCCCATGTCCGATTCCAACGCTCTCCATACTTACCTTCCCACCATGTTTCACCCTGCTTCACACCATGACCGTTTGGATTGAAATGTTCATCCCATTTGTCACCCCATTTCGCCCAACCGTCGCCCTCACAGCGCTCCGCCCATTTGTCAGTGTATTTGTCGCTGCCACCATGTCCATCATACTTTTCACCCCACCTGCAACGGATGCAAAAACATGTCAAGTCTTTAGAAGGAAATCAGATTCCAAATTTTACTGATCGTGCAGTTTTATCAGAGGGAAAAGCAGGTTGATTGACACATCAGAAGTTTTACAATTTCTTGAATCCACTATTATCATGTTTGTAAAATTGTTTGTAAGAGAAATCCTGTAAGTGGCGATTTGATGTGATGGCAGGAATAAATGAGACATCACTACAGGCATGGCATCAAAAATTTACTCCAATTTAATTGACAAGTTTGGTACCTTTCATGCCAGATATGAGCATGACCAGCCTCAAGGGGTGTATTTGGGTCAATGCTACACCACTTATGAGCCCATTTTTCAGCTTGGCCTGAGGCATCATAATGCTCCCACCATTTCTCTTGCCACTCATCGCCTTTACCGTTCTTTCCCCACTTGTCTGCAGTTTTCTCCATATGCACAAGTCCACGGTTCTGCAACCAAACCAAAGCTTGCTGTTCAGTTTGTTCTTAGATATTTGTAACATCATATATTCATCGGATAGAATTAACATGCCTTAAAATCAAGTGGACAGATGAATTAATTAACTCTAGGAGCGATCTTTAAAAAAATTAATAAGTTAACGGCTATGTATCTCTTCCTATGACAATTCTGTAGGTGAAACATAGCAGTCCCTTTTATAGGGGTTTTTCCTCACTTTTATGGAAGAGGAGCCTGCATTTACATCAGATGAGTATAACTTTATAGTTCATTAACCATAAATTTTGGAAAATATAAATCTAAGTAATCATTTAAGCTTTTGAGGAAGCAATTTAGACTTGAATCACTGCATAAACCAGGTAGGGCTTGTTCCTGGCCACAAAAGAAAGGCTAAAACCCATCAATATTATGAAACTGAAAAGAAAGTAAGAAAACATAAATTTCAGTTAAATTTCAGTTTCAAGTAGCGGTGCGGAATAACCTGCCACATAGATTCTGTCCAATATTCACGCCAGACATTTCCAGTTGCATTGCGTCCCAATTTTTCTGAACCAAGCTCCTTGTGGCCAAACTCATCCGCAGCCTCCCAGTACTTATCTTGCCACTCCGTAACTTGGTCGGCACTAACACCTCTGGTCATTGTCCACCTGCAAACTACACCATCGGGCCTTTGCTCTATTCCAGATTCCCTCCACCACCTAGATCCATCTGTATTCACTCCAGATAATGACGCCTCATCCACTGTATCAAGAGCATGAGCTGCTTCTGCTGCATGTGCTGAAAACTCAGCACCAAGTTCATGGTCATCTTTTAAGGAAGTTGCCTCTACACTGGACTCAGAGACGTCGACTTTCCCAACCTCCATCAGGGACTGGAAAGGAGGAAGAGGAGGGTTCCGATTGGTTTCTTCAAGTTTACTCTCTAAAGGAATTGAGAGAAAACCTACAGATGGCTCTTTCTCCAACACTGGATTGCTCGACTGTGCTGAAGGTTTTGGTGCTGGCAGCAATTCACTGACATCATCTGAAATTTTATCACCACCCTGAGGGGGTGCCCAGGACCAAAAATCAGGGCCAGGAGTCCCGGTTCCTGAAATTTCTGATTGAGGAACAATTACACTTCTAACCTGTGTCCCACTTCCTGAAGAACAGTTAACCAACAGTGTAGTATTAGAAACCCCAAAAAGAAAATCATCAATTCCATTAGCGCAAAATTCAGATGTTCATCCACTAATTAGTCAAATGGGAGATCAGCATGTCAATACTCCCCTTTAGTAACTAAAATACTACTCATCATTTGCAGTTTATATCAACCTATGATCAAATGTCGGCCTATCTCACAAATCCATCCAATCTCCACAACCACAAACAAAAATGGACACTAAATTTATGTAGTTTGTTTCAGATTCAAAAAGCCCTAAACCCATCACCATCCAAAACATATGCATATATGCCCGATCAAACTCATTTTTTTTTTTTTTTTCTCCTTTTTTAAAAATGTGGACTTTATTAAATAAAACACGCATCAACATTACACATTAGCATCAAATTCTACCTCCCGTATCTTCACTGTCCCAAATAAAAATCCAATCAGAAATTGAAATTCCCAAACTCAAAACCAAACACAAAGTCTAAATCCTTACCCTCTTGACGAGGCTCCACTGCTCCCCCGCTACCACCACCTGAACCGGGATCAGTCCTCAAACTCTTATTTTTGTCCGCCAAAATGGCGCGAGCCGCGGCGATCGCCGCCGCAGCCCTATCGACAACCTGCATTCGCTGAACCCGATCCCTCTCTTCCTTGGAAACCCCCAGAATCTTCTCGAACTCCTCACTCTTCTTCTCCAAATCCTCAACAGGCTCAACACTCTGATCATCATTAGCATCGATCTTACTCGATTTCTCGACGATCCTTTCGAACTCGACGGTCTTCTTGTCGTTCTCCACGGCCTTCTTCCACATGCTGAGGTACGAGTCCCCACCATCGGAAACCCTAATCCGCAGACTTCCCCTGCCCGCGATCTTCGTTCTCCCAAACGGTGCCGTTCGCTTCTGCTCTAGCAGTAGAATGAGTGGGTGTTTGTGTTTGAGTAAATGGAAGTGGGACCCGCGAGGGGTACAGGCGCCGAGCCGAGACGCCATGTTGATGGAGAAGTGAGGAAGGAGACTGAGTAACACTGAGTGGAGAAGAGAGAAGTGGAAAATGGAAATGGCTATTTCAATTTGTATTTTATTTATTTTTTGCTTATCGGAAAGGAGGGAACAGAGTTTCCGTGGAGTTGGAGTAAGGTATGGGATGCGGTTGTAACGGCTTTACCTGTTTTTTATTATTTTGTTATTGATGGGTATGTGGACACCTGGCGGGAATGAGAGAGAGATAGACGGTGCGAGACGGAAAAGGATCCGCCAGGCGTTGGATTCAGAACTCGGAGGTTTCGGAGCGTCTACCGACATGGACAATGAGACGGAGGAGATCACGTGCTGCCTGTCAAATCTTAGCCAAAAATCCAAAACAAGGGAAACCCAAGCGAAAATTTTTCCAACGGATGAAAATAAAAGGATGGCTTTTTTTTTTTTTTTTTTTTTCGGTAAATGGTCTATAAAGCTTGCGAAATTGTGATGAATTGCCGATGTGAAATGTAAGTGGAACTCATACGTTCGATGACATTGTGCCATGTGGATTATAAAAATTGAAAATCCATAGAAAAAAACATTTACATATATTTTAAAGTAACTCCACCTCCTTTCATTACAAGAAAACATTTTTATGTGAAGACGAATAATCGTCACTGAAACATGTAAATTTGTCACAGTTGACCATATGTGATGCATTTTCGGCGTCACAAAGGTCGTCACCTATACCCCATCACAGATTGTTTGACGTAACGACTTTGCGACTCGTCACATATTGTTTCTATATGTGACGAATGTTCCGTCACATATAGAGCCTTTGCGCGAGGCATCTCTCGTCACTTATTGTATCGATCGATGACAAGCCGCATGGGTCACATTTCATAAGCATTCGTGAGGAGTTGTTCCTCACATATTTATGAAAATTGTGACATTGTATGTCTCACGTATAATCCGATCAGCATTCAATTCAATTCAACTTAATTACCACCTGTATGTCTCATATATATATATATATTATTTTCTTGTATAATATAGCAAAATAACATATTCAAGATCCCAAAGTTTCACAAGTAAATTGAACTCAAATTTCATTCCATTACATCAAAATAATTACATTGTTTGATATACAATCTGTATACTCATTTCTATACATTGTTTGAACTCAAATTTCTACACTAAGAAATTTCTATACATTGTTTGAACTCAAATCTCACTTCAGAGATGCCAAATCAGTATACTCATTTGTAACAGCAAAAATATCCACGCAAACACCTGCTTGAACAGCGACTGCAGCCTGTAAAATTGTCAAAGCTTACATGGATTGTAGTAGCCTAAACAAACAATTTGACCTTAAATGTCATCTAAATCCCTAGATTTGGAACCACACCATCCAAATGGATCCTTAGTTTTGGTGACACATGTATTCACGAGATTAAGCTTCAAATTCTATATCCTAAAGCATAACCCTAACTAAACCCACTCATAAACCATTAGGAGAAATTTCTCATCTGACACAACAAATAAAATAGTTGGACACAAGAAACCGAACGCTGACTCTCATTGTCATCAACAATGGCACAGCCTAATGACATGACGAGAAATCCTTCAGCTCTACACATTATCATCTTATTTCTTCTAAAGTACTACCGATTGTAATATAAAAAACAGACCAACATAAAAGACAGTTATGCCAACTTATCACTTTCTCAGGGCAACATTATTTGAAAGGTTATATACATAATTTAACTCATTTAAATAGAAGAAAGAGCATACCAATTTGGCATTGAATAATACCTGTTAATCACAATTGTGTAAAAAATTAGGCCCTAATCACAGTACAAGGGGTTCCTAAGCCCACCAATGTAAATTCAAAGACGACATTAAGATTGATTACACCAGATAAAGCATTGAATATACAACAACATTATGAGATATCAAATTGAATACTTAGCATACATAAACCAAAATCGATTACACCACTGTCATTGATTATGCAAACCCAAGGCCACAAGATAAGTATATATAAAAAATTCTCAGATTCCTAAAATAGCAAAATTTTAAAAATACTAATGCCAGAACTTCTAATGTGCCTAGATTTGTTACTATGAAGTCCTCTCAACAACCAAAGATACAAGTATTGTCTATGACAATTTTTTATTTAAATTGAATTGGTCTTGCTAGCAATTCCTATGGATTATAATCTTTCTTGGTTCTTAGATTCTTTTATACTTGGGAAAAAATGCAAGAAATTGAAAAACCCAATTTGCATGTTCTGGTAAACAAGTAAACAGGAGCATATAGGAAACTTTCTTCACCAATAAAGTTGGATTTTAATCACAAGCAGCAATTCCTATCAATAATCAACATATCATTCTCGTCATAGTAAAGACTTGCAGATACACATATAGGAGGGAAAGCAGAACCTCAATAACTTTGACCATTCACCGGATCTGTTTTGACAGACTTTGCTGGATCCTAGCAAGAACTTGTTGCCATTGTAAATTTCAAACACTGTGTTGCGGTTACCGCTACTGTCACCGTTTCCTTACTTAGTTAGGATTTTGGTTCCTTACTATGTTAGGATTTTAGTTACTTACCATTTATCTAGTTATATTATAATTGAAATTTATTTCCTATTATAATTTATATTTATTTTCTATTGTAATTTAAATATATTTCCTATTTTATTTAGGGTTAACACATCTTTGTACTTGTATAAATACCTCCACATTGTAGAAGAATAATAAATATCTGAATATCTGAATTTTTTCCCCTATTTTGTTTGACTGATTTAGCTTTATTTCCCTTCCATTTCCTCAATTTTCATAACAACTAAATACATAAAAAGAAAACCTCAAAGCATTAATATATCACTAATACACATCACAAATTAAAAGAAACTTACCTCAAGCACAAGATGGAAACAGAAAAATCAATCAAATTGAGCTAGAGCAAAACACCCAGAAGAAATTATCAGCTTTCCAATTCAATTTTATCTGAAATATTCAAGAAAACCCCAATGAACATATCAAATTAACAACCAGGAATAGCACTACAACAATGTTTACCTGTGGTTGTTTACCAGTCGAACGTGAACTTAATTAACACTGGTTATCGTTGGGCTAATAGGATTGAGAGAGAATTTGTTGGTATTTAAATGAGGGAGAACGGGTCACGCGAAGGGGGAGAGAGAGAGGGATGGCAACGGGTCGAGTAAGGGCTAGGTATGACAATACCATCCCCATCCCCGCTCTCCATCCCCGCCCCTGTCCCCGAACTCATCCCCGTTTAATAGGTTTTGGGAAATCCCCATCCCCGTCCCCGTCGGGGGACTATCCCCCATACCCGCCTCTAATCCCCGATTTTTTTTACATAAAAAAAAAAAATTTATCATATATTTTAACATTAAGTTTCATATTAATTTATCATTCAACACATCCAAATTAACTATAAAGTTCAACTCAACTATTCAAAATCACTTCAATATGAAATTCCAAATAAGATTAGGAAGAATTAGGAGATGAAGGTTAACTTAGGGTTAAACATAAATATTATAATTATTTATTTATTTATTTAAATATAAACATATAAATTTTCGGGTCGGGTTCGAGGATGGAGACGCCAATACCATCCCCTCCCCATACCCATCGGGGATTTTTCAAGTTCGGGGATCCCCGTACCCGATACCCATTTGGCCCTGAAATCTCCCCCCATTAGGGTCAGGGACCTGATAGGGCCCCGCCCTGGCGGGAATTTTTGCCATCCCTAAGAGAGGGAGAGAGGAGGACAAGGACGAAGAAGTAGTCATCATCATTGGAGTAGAGGAGGTGGAGGAGCAGTGGTCATCGTCGTCGATGCTTGGTGGTTGGAGGTAGATGGGAGCGCCGATGTTGTCGAGGAAGATGAAGTGTGAAGCAATGAACTATGTTTTAGATGTCTTGGGGATATTTTTTTTGTTTGTTTTGTTTTTGTTTTTGGCATAAGTGACGCTGCACATCGTCTCATTTGGGCTTGCCATTCATGCTATGTGACGCATTCCGCATGTTCGTCACATTTAACCTTTTCATTTTGTCTCCAACATTTTGCGTAAATCAATACGTGACGATTCAAAAAAATTATGTGACGAAAAAGCTGCAAAAATATTTTTGTGTCCTGGGAAGACCCTTATGTGACGATTTGTAAAATTTCCTCACTTATCTTTGGTAAATGTGACAAAATTTTGAGTGTCACATATAATTTCGTCCAGAAGGCCTGTTTTCTTGTAGTGTTTCCCATTCATCTCCCTCTGTTATGTCTTTTCTCTCTCTAGTTTGGACCCCACAAGTCCAACCAATTGTACATCTCCAAAAACGCATCATCGTCTAATCGCATCAACAAAAAGCTCATCCTAATATCTTCATCTCTATCATTGTTGTTGACGCATAGTAAAAAAACGAATCCAATCTGCTCAATAAGGACGCAATGCATGGACCTCCACGACTGCCTAGAACTGATCATAGCCTATTAGCATCAACACCCCTTCACTAAAAGCAGAGCACAAATATGCATACGATCGGGACAGACCAGACCAAACCACCTCTGCCCAAAAGCACAGATGGGCGTCAGCTTGGGGACTTACACGAGTAGTCACCCCTGTCACCAATCGTCTCCTTAAAAACAAGTAGGCTAACCATCATGTTCCTCGGAGCCATCCATCGGGGCAGGGGCTCATGCAACAATTCCTATGATGTTTTTCATCCCCGTACTCTCGATTTGAATCCATATCTTACTAACTGGCTACTTTTCTAGTTATGTTACATAAGGGCCTTATCTTGCTGCTGGACCTGAGCCATATGCCTAGCCTATCAATCATAGATCAGCTCGAAAGTACCCCTTTTTATTATGATGATAAGGGTGGATGGTAAGATCCTTGGTGTGGAGAGATCTCTGCCAAAAAAACAAAGAGCTCAACCAATTCCTTATTTCAGGGACATCCCCTTGTTAGGTAGGGCCAGGGATCACTAATTAGTCGAATGAGCCCATCCCTCTGGCCTATCATTTATTGGAGCTCGGGGATCGAGCCATACAGGGAGAATAAGCGATCACAAAGGGTCCACATTGATGATAAGACCTCTCCTGACAGAAGAGTAGTACGCCACCCCCAGAACCATCGCTCATGTCACCTCTGATCCCACATGTGGATTTGTCATTTGCCCCTAGACAAGATGTGACGTAGAATATGTTACTTTACAACCCACATCCCCCACTAAAACCGTGTGAAATCATCATTACTGAAACGTAGCAATCTCTAATTGGCCCACCCACATGATGAGACCGGCGCTCAAGCATGACGTGGTCAACTCAATGCCTAGCCATATAACAACTTAGAAATAACTTGTAAATTATACCCTATAAATAGGAAGTATCTCTATATTCTATTTATAGAGTATAGCTGCGTGACTATACTACTTTAAATAAATTTATTTGAGGGACACCCTCGTAAGCAATGACAGAGCTAGAAAATCAAGAAGGGTCAACCTTAAATAGCGAGAGTGAGAATTTTGCCTAATTGATTGGCTCATTCATTTAAAAAAATCACGAAAAATCTTAGAAATTATAAGGTGTGTTTATGTGATGTTGTGTTAGAAAAAAGATACTACTAGAGCCAGGAGGGATTTTATAGTGCACTTGGTTGAGTAAACTCAAAAGATGAGAAGGGTCAGCCATGTAATATAGAAAGTAATTGAGTCAAATGCAACACAAACAAAACACAAATTATCAAAGGGTGAGAAGGGTCAAGTGACCTTTGTGGACCTTAATTGGCTCCACTCACTTGAATCCGATATCATTTGACCACTCAATTGAATTATTTAAATTTTAGTACTTTCTTGAAGTACCGTGTTCATTGATTTTATAGGACACAATTGGATATCGAAACGGTTTCCAATTTGTCTAATTTTTTGCAAAGATGATCTATGAATTTAGACTTAAAAATAAATGGTTTCGATCATTGAAAAAATATTTGTAGGGACCCTAAATGGTGTCCTTCAAATAAAATTATTTAAGGGATCCCTCAATAGAATGGAACTATATATAGATAGTCGAACGGCTACCCTTTTTAAATATACAAATTTAGTTATATACCCAATTTTAGACATACTTTTATAAAGAAACCCTATATCATTTAAAAACTATAAACACACCCAAAAAATACCCAAAAATCGACAGCTGTCAATTTTTTCAATTTAATAGTTATTTTTTACTTTATTTGTATGTGTAAAATACCTATATTGCCTCTGTACTATGGATTTGAGAGAGAAAAATCATATCTGCCAAAAAACCAAATTAGATTCATTTTCTCCTTTCTCGCTAGTGCTTTCTCAGTGTTGGAGCAAGTCGAGCTTCCATTGAAGCTCAATCTCAAATCCAACTATATTCTTCATCTCTGATCTACAATTTTCAATATTTCACATTTGATTTCTTGTTCTAAAATCGTGCTTCTATTTTATTTTATTTTTGGATTGCTCGAAACCTCAAAAGAAACTAGATAAGATGCTCTTAGCTCAACTCCTCTTTAGGCCATGTCGTCGTCGTCATCGTTTTGTTCGGACTTGCGATTTTTGATCTTTTGCTTCAATTATGTGTTTCTCTTCTGATTTTAGTTGATTTTGGGAATGTATTTTAAGCTTTGATGATCGATTTATCTTTTGTTTCTTTTTTTAGTTATGGATCTCATTTTTGTTTAACAATGTACTTCTATGACAAAGTATTAACAATGTACTTCGATCACATAATAGTATTAACAATTTGGGCTCGGCTTGTTTTGAGTTGGTCTGGTTTGTTCTTTCTTCATCTTTTCTTTGATGGACATATATTAGAAATCGCAACATGACAAGCATTAATCAACATGACAATAAACTAGCAGTGTTATTACTCTAGACTGGAACATTACATAGGTAGATATGCATTAGAAATTGGATGTCATAGGAAACTAGTAGTGTTATTACCATAGACTGGAACATTACAGGGGGTAGATACGCATTAGAAATAGGATGTCATAGGAAACTAGCAGTATTATTACCCTAGATTGGAACATTACAGCCATTAATCAACATGACAGTAAACTAGCAGTGTTATTACCATAGACTGGAACATTACAGCCAACTGGAACATTACAGGGGTAGACATGTATTAGAAATAGGATGTCATAGGAAACTAGCAATGTTGTTATCCTAAACTGAAACATTACAGGGGTAGACATGCATTAGAAATAGGATGTCACAGTAAACTAGCAGTGTTATTACTCTAGACTAGAACATTACAGCCATTAACCAACATGATAGTAAAGGTGTGGAACATTACAGTTATTAATCAACATGACGCGTTAATGAAGCTACGATTTTCAAGACGTTTTGTTTGTAATGAATTGTTCGGGTTTTTTTTTATAAAATTGGGTTGGGCTTGTTTTAGGTGCTTTTTAAGTTTTTTTTTTGTTGGGCTTCTTTTAAGTTGATCAATGGCAGTCACGTAATTTATAAGAACTTCAACACCAATTTCTTATGTACTAATGAGTTTTTGGTGTATTTCTAAAGCGCATTCCATGTGAGTGTTTTTTTTTTTTATAATTCCAACCCCTATTTTGGGTATATTAGTGATACTCCCTTTTAAATATTCTACTCTTTAAATATTCTATTTAAAAACTATAGATACGCAGTATACTTTATAAATAAAATAGCCACAGTTAAACTTTTAATATATATATATATATAAATAGTATAATCGTCCGGCTATATCCTTTACATATATACAAATATTTATAGCCACGCGATTATATTTTTTAAGCGGTCATATTCTTTAAATATTTCCACATTATTGAATTTCTTAGTAACATAAACCCAAATAATTATACTCTTATAATTAACTCCCATCATTAATTGTCGCTTCATCATATAATCACATTTTTTTTTCAAGGAATAAAATAACCTTGTATGTGAAACACATGCTTTGAAATTGCAAAACGGTGCTAGAAGCCACACTCATTTATTTTTGAAATATTTAGTCATATACCCATTATTAGCACTAAAACTATAAATAAACTATGCACCATTTAATTTTTATAAACAAACATACACAAAATAACAGTTGGCCTTATTGAATTTAATTTTAATTATTAAATTACTTTGATGCCTTATTGAGTGTTTTGGTTTTTTTTTATGAAGTTTTGGAGTTATGTTTGTTTTAAGAAATCAATGGCAGTTTTGTAATTTAAAAGAAGTTAAAAGCCTTTTCTTTATGTTGTAAATGGATTTTAAGTGTGTTTCTAAATTCCATTTCATATAGATTTTTTTTTAATAATTCGGGCTACTATATTGAGTATAATAGTGAATCTCCTTCTCCACCTACACCAAAAATTTGCCAAAGGTTAACTTGGATTATCCAAACATTTGTGTGGTTGCCAAAGATTTTCCTTAGGAACAATTTCAATGGCAGGATTCCAACCCTAAAACTCAATTCTGTCCAGAATTAGTATTCGAATATTATGGCATGGTTAATTAGGATTAGGATAAGGTTGTCTGATCTTCTCTAATAATTTAATTTATACAAATTTAGTTATATACACAATCTTAGATATAGTCTTATAAAGAAACCTTATACTATTTAAAAACTATAAACACGCCCAAAAAAACCCCCAAAAATAGACAACTGTCATAAGAAATTAACAGTGTTATTACCCTAGACTGGAACATTACAGAGGTAGACATACATTAGAAATAGGATGTCATAGGAAATTAGTAGTGTTATTACCCTAGAAATAGGATGTCATAGGAAAATAGTAGTGTTATTACCCTAGATTGGAACATTACACGAGGTAGACATACATTAGAAATAGGATGTCATATGAAACAAGTAGTGTTATTACGATAGACTGGAACATTATAGCCATTAATCAACATGACAGTAAACTAGCAGTGTTATTACTCTAGACTGGAACATTACAAAATAGCAGTGTTATTACCCTATACTGGAACATTACATGGGTAAACATGCATTAAAAATAGGATGTCATAGGAAACTAGCAGTGTTATTACCTTAAATTGAAACATTACAGGGGTAAACATGAATTAGAAATAGGATATCATAGGAAACTAGTAGTGTTATTACCCTGGGGTAAACATGAATTAGCAATATGATATCATAAGAAACTAGTAGTGTTATTACTGTAGACTGGAACATTACAGCCATTAATCAACATGATAATAAATGTGGAGAACATTATAATCATTAATCAACATGACACGTTAATGAAGCTACGGTTTTCAAGACATTTTGTTTGTAATGAATTGTTTGAGTTTTTTTATAAAGAGTAATGTTACACTTACCACATTTTTATCCCACATTTTTATACCACATGATGTGGCATGTTCATATTATATGCCACATCAATTAAATCAATGAAGTGTATTTTAATTAAGACAATTAGAAAAACAAATATTAGAATAAATCATATAAGAAAAGAAAATATTACATAATTTTAATTGTTGTGGTTGTCCACCTCAGCTGCCACATAAGATGGTATAAGAATGTAGTATACAAATGTGGTAAGAGTAGCATTATTCTTTTATAAAATTAGGTTGGACTTGTTTTGGATGCTATTTAAGTTTTTTATATTGGGCTTCTTTTAAGTTGATCAATGGCAATCACGTAATTTATAAAAACTTCAACACCAATTTCTTATATATTAAATGAATTTTGAGTGTGTTTCTAAAATGCATTCCATATGAGTTTTTTTTTTTTTTTAATTTCAGTCCCTATTTTGAGTATATTAGTGAAGCTCTCTTTAATTTAATAAACTCAACACAAATATATATTAAAAATTAGAAAAGTTGTTGTAACATAAAAACAAGTAAAATTGGTTCTCTGTACATCCATTCTACTAGTCTATTCTATGATCGACCACTGATCTTTTCTTTTTCTTTTTTTTCTTTTTTTTTTTTTTGCTTTTTTTTTCCTTGATCAATAATAAATAAGATCAGAAACTTCATCTACACAATGTGTCAAAAACAGATATCTACACAACAATTGGCCCACCCGGGCCAGTTGGGGGTGGCGGGGGAGCTGGTGGCGGAAATAATCTCGGGCCCCGGCGGGGGAGGAGGCACAATATCAGGTGGTTGTGGCGGCTCTTGGTCGGGTTTTGGAAGCGGGTTATCAGGAAACGGTGGTGGGATATCGGGCACAGGAGGCGGTTTCAAGGGAGGTACTGGAAAATCCGGGGCCGGGTTCGGATCCGGGTCAACCGGTGGAGGGTATGGATTCACTTCAGGAGGCGGAACAGAAGTGGGGTCCACATCCGGAGAGGTGGAAATCCCAGGCACCTCAGGAGGAGCAGAAGGCTGGTCATAGCGGCCTGGAACTGGGGGAGAAAACTCTGGTGGGCTCTTGGTCGGGTACTGGTCGGGCGGGTCGGGTAGGGCACGGGCTAGAATATGATATGCAAGGGGGCATATGGGCTTTCTTTTGGGTGACAGAAATTGACTGCTTGTTGCAGAAGTAGTAGAGGTGGTGGATGAACAAAATGGGATTGTTCGTCTGATGAGAGTTGATGAGAATGAAGAGATGGATGAGGACGACATTAATATTATGTTTTGTTCGAAAACAAGATTGAGAAATTTTGTTTGGGCTCTGTCCGAGTCTGAGAGATGAATGAAGGAAGAGAAAGTTTATGTATTGACGTAGATTGAGGTTTCGGTATTGCATGTGGGTGACACATGTATGCAGGTGGCAGAGGGAGTTGACACCTGTGCGTGTGGATGAGAAATGGTTTTGAATATTTTGGATTGACACGTACGTAGTGTGAAGAATTAAGAACAGAGTAAAAGAAAGGTTGGAATTGTATATTTCATTGATACTTGTACAGTGAGAGTACCACTGTTTATATACACTTGAAAAGAATAATCTGGAATAGAATTGGTTACAAAGAATATGGAGATGATGACAGGTGTAGGATGGATATATGACTAGTAAGTTCCTTCTCTTCTAGAATATTGCTGAGCTGGAGATTGTATGCATTGGATTTGCTGTGTATTTGCACCTATGATTGTGTACTCTGTTTATCACGTAGTGGTGGTATAGGGCGAGCTGGTCTTGCTCGATTTCATTAGCCGTTTGTACACATCACAACGTAGCAAAGAGGAGACTGAACCAGAAATAGGTAACTTGTCCAAAACTTGCCTACTTATTCAAAGTGGAACTTAGAATTTTCAAAAATACAACGAATAAGTATAAAATTCCAAATTTATGAACATTGTACCATTTTCAATCAATACATTTATAATTATTGCAAATGCGTTTTCGTGACCTAATTCACTGAAAATCTTGCAAAACCTAGGCAATCGACTCTTACCATTAACAAAGGGAGAAAAAATGGAAGCCTTTGTCTTTTGATTTGCTAAGAAACTTTGCTTGGAAACAAAGAGTTTGAATTTAGCATTAGCTTTCCATGTTCTGAATTCTTACTTATTTGAATTTTGTTAGTCGTAAGCCTATAGCTTTTCATGTTCTTTCATTCAAGTATTACATTTGATTTGAAATTTAACCTAAGAGCCAAATTTAGCGAGACTGGTTTATTCAAATCCAAGGGCCCATATCACCCCAACCTCTCCATTGGGGCACAAAATCAAGATGGGGTGTGGAATAGGGATTCCAAGCCTTTGCATTTAGAGCCTTCGTATTTACCCGTATTTTGCTTGATCTGAGCCATTATAATAATCCAACAACTCAAAACAAGACACCTAAGCTAATAAAGAGAGATGTTTTACTGTTAAGTGAATTTAGGAATTGAAGTATCTGGCGAAGCCGATAAACCGCGTCAAGCGGCTATTACACTACTAGTCGACGGTCCTGAGGATGA